CGTTAAACAACCAACGCACTTGTAAATAAGGCCGATCGTGACCTATGGAATTATTGGCTTCAGTGTGAGTAAAAGTGGCGTTTGACGTTTATGCTGTTCAAAGGGTCTAATAATGAAAAATGGACCAATTAAGACCCTTCATTTTTAAAAACAACACTTTAAGAAAGCTCTTCTTGCCTTATTCTACGGAAACCAGAACCTTGATAGATCTTTTACATCTTAGAAACCAGCCTCACTCGTTAGAGCTTAGTTCTTTTTTTTTTTTTTTCTGTATACGTAGAAGTGATTTAGAAAAACATTTAACTATAAAAAAAATTGCGATAAAACATTTCTTAAAAACTTTTTAAAGATTGCTAAAAAACGACGACGTTTCGACGTTGGCTGAACGGCAAGTATGGAGTCCGTCTGGATATTTAAATTAGGCTTCAGATTCTTGATGAACAGCATTTCAAAGACTAAACAATCAAATTTTTCTTGGTACTTTCTTAAAACTCCAAATTGGTTTTCTTTCAGGAGGTGGTTTCTACCGTGAGCTTCCACGAAATGTCGACCGATTGCCGAATATTTATGCTCAGCAATGCGTTGATGAAGGTGTCGGGCTGTGTATCCGACATAATCTGCATCGCACAGATCACACGAGAAACGATAAACAACGCAATGGCGATTTCTTTGGGTTTAAGAATTTGCCCCGATTTCTTGCTCACAAAAACAAGCTGCAATGTAGGGAGAATCTCATGGCTAAGATCGCGCAACTGCTTCCGAGCCGCATGCTTTAGCAGCCACTTGATCTTTGAATGGAAGGTTAATTCTTACTGTGCTACTATCATCGGTGTTTCTTTCCGTTGTGCCTACCGGAGCATTTCAAGGCGACTGAAAATAGATCGCAATTTGACACATTCTGCATTAAAAGCTTCTGTGGTAGACGATAGGGCATAGGCTCGGTGTAAAGAGTCTTTACAGCGTTTATCGGTGTGACTGTGGAAGCGTAAAAACAAACCAGTGTTTGTTGGTTTTCGGTAAAATTGAGTTTCAAGTTTAGTTCCGTTCTTGACGATTTCAATGCCGACAAAAGAGATCCAATTACCAACGGGAAGCTCCATCGTAAAAGTTAGACTGGAGTGTAGGTTATTCAGAGTAGTAAGAAACACAACAGCAGTAGCAGCGCTAGGCATTCTGGTCATGGTATCGTCGACATACCTCGTGTACAGATGGGGTATCAAGCCATCGTGCGTAAGCTCTTCTTCAAGATGACACGTGAAGACATTGGCCATTAGAGGGCCAGGAGGGGAGCCCATAGCCACACCATTTGTTTGTTCGTAAAGTTCACCATTAAAACTAAAAAGCTGATTGGTTGTAGCAGTTTTGAGTAGTTCAGCGAGCTGATCCTCTTGCAGAGTAAAGCCATCGGTTTTGGTAAACCAATCATCTGTGAAGGCTTTGTTGACCAAGATGTTGATAGTCTCATCTAAAGGCACGTTGGTGAAGAGAGTTGTGACGTCGGACGAGATTAGTATGGCTTCATCATATGCATAGAATGGGTACGATTCTCATCAGCAACAGCAAAAGGCGATCTGTGGCGAATTTGATCACCACAGATCGCTGCCTGTTATCAACGTGTGTATATTTAGAGGTGTTGTTTCATTTTTTTTTTCTGATCATGAATTCAAGTTGGGTTAAATGTAACAGGAACAATTGTCCCATAATGTACCTAAAACTCAGTGGAATCTTCTCCGAAGTTTCCTATAGAAAAAAAAAAAACGGCGCATTGAATAAAATTATAATAGGTATGTAAAGTGTTTCATTTGTGTAAATTAAATTTGACAAACGTCGCTGTCAAGTGCCGTTGTCCATTATTCAATTCGGTAATGTTTAATGTATGATATATACATACATTTACGAATCATTTTTTCCAAAAGATTGTGTTCGCGTCACAGAATTTCAATGATAAGGGACCCCTTAGCTCGGCAGCTATACATCTGCTGTTTTTCGACATTAGTACCACAAAATCTAGCCTCGGCGATACCATTCTCAAATTAAAATTGAGTGAATAAACATCAGTTTATGACCAAAACTTGCATAAATTTACGTTGGAGGTCACGTATTTCAAAGGGACGTGATCACAAATCTGTTACAAAGGCACACGTTTGCCTAAAACTATTTGTTAAGATAAGTGAAACTGCAATAAGCGTGTAAGTCTCCTGGCCTTTAATAACAACACCACAAACCAAGTTCGAATGAAGATTTATTGTAGCCGACGTGCTTGGTACTAAGAGTGTACATACAAACAGCGTGGATTGAAAATTGTTTCGGCCAGAGAAAACTGCTGTAAAGCGGACTGCGAAGAGACTTGCAAGAAACTAAACAGAACTACGCTAAGCGCGGACCAAAATGAGCTGCCCAAAACTGTACTGCAAAACTACGATATGAAAAATACGCTAGAACATGCGGAAAATAAAACTATAGAAACTTAGAAAGGCGCTAATGAAGATGAAACAGCACAGAAACGCTAACGAGGGCGTGAAAACTGACAGAAAGGAATAAACACTTAAATTAACGCCAAAAAAAAAGACTAAACAAATGGACGAAAAGAAGTATAAACTTATTTGCGTACGCAAAGGAAAAACAAATTACGCAAGAACGAATAATAGAAAAAATGTTACACTTGGATCTTACAATAAGTCTGTGCTGTGACGGTATGTTTGTCGACATACATTGTTGTCCATTGGAGATATTTACAATTACAATTCTTTTTCGGAATAGTTGCGTGACACAGTTAATGATTAACTGCTCTAAATTGGTAGAGGTTATTTCGAATTATCCCAGCTACGAGGAATTGTTACATTGAGATTCAAACAACCATTGGACATCACAAGATTAAAATCCATCCCGTTCTGTCTTTTTGCGAGAGAGATTCGTTGAAAGTGCATTTTTCGAGCTAATTTTAGCCTTTCACCCCAGGGATTTGATATGGGAGTTCTAATACCCCAGGGTTTAGCCGGGAGTCCGAACTACTCTGGATTATTGAAAAACTTAATGACCAGACATGGTTTGATGCTAATCTGGTTTAAAGATTTAATGAATGTAACGAAAAAGTTACAATTCATAGACCCAACGTTTCGACACTCCTGTCTTCATCAGGGGTGATCAAGAGCTCCTTATTTATATGCTAACTATAATTAGCTGCACTTTTTTATGACGAGTTGTAAATAGGCGTCAGGTAAGAAGCCGCCATCATCATGATTTAAAAGAGCGTGGGCGCAGTTGATATACCAGGCTTCCAAACAAAGGCGCTTGTGGTAACGTTGATTAGTATCCCACCCAATTGTATGGTTAGTTAAGAATGTGCCCTCCGACAAAGCTGAAATTTTTTTGTTTTGGCAAAAGAAGACCGCTTTTTGATGCTATTTCAAACGTGTACCAAACTAACGTTTGGTCGGTCCGATACGCTCTTGATCGCAGTCATTGTATGGAATAGAATAAATAGCGTCGACTCCTTGTTCTTTCGGAACAGGATCCTTAGGTTTGGCAAAAATATGCCCTACAGTCTCAAAAAGTTTTTGAGCAACTTTGACGTTGTGGCTATTCAAAATTTATACCGCGTCAGAAAAAGGTGCAGTTAATTAATGAGCATATGTAAGGTCCTCTTGTTGTAGCGATTAGATTACCCCTGATGAAGGCACTAGTCTGAATGTCTGAATGTCCACCTGGTTGCCTTATGAACTTCAATATAACCTAGTGACCCTCACAAACTGTTAAAGTTTGAGAGAAATCTGCGAGATAGCATGTGTCACGCCGTCACGGTCATCTCGTGAACAGACTCATAAATACACTGGTTAATAGAACGAGAATTTGAAACTAGATTTTTTCATCCCACACCTTTGTCGTCACAATTTTGTGATTGAGGTGATTCTTCAGTTTTGCACTGCGCATCCTGTACTGTGCATAAAAATCACGTAGTCGGAGAAATGAGCGCCCGAGCATTCCGAGAACATGGTATTTTTTTCAATCCATGGACCGGGTAAAGAGGTACCATACTCTTTAGTTCTTGAACGAGCACAGTGACCCATATATACATATCTATTTTTTTTGCATAATTTTGGTGTACAATTGATTCCCTTTAAATTGGAGAAATTCTTCGAAGGGAAAAAAAGATGAAGCTAAAAGCGTACACGAAGCGCGTTACTCGAGTATGCAAATCATGACCTTGAAAGGAACGACTCGTGGAACGATTTGAGTCAATATCGTTTCGGTTTGCGTGATTTTCCCACAAATTATATATCCAATTGTTCCTTAGCTCGAGACTTTCTACTTATCAAGTTGTCTCAAGTGTTACTTTAAAAAACCCTTGCATCCAGCCGCAGCAAAATGGACCGTGACCAATGGAATGACGCGCGTGATTAGTACAGGCATAAATTGGGTAAGTTTGGCCCATTAAATCTCGCAAACAAGCACGGTGACTATCTTTCTTATTGTATTTCTCGAAACAGACATTGGTAAGAAACATCAAAGGAAAGTTTGAAAACAATGGTTCGATAACCTATTTTTCTAAGGAATCACCTTAAAAGATGATATAGATGAGCCGAGGTAAACAAACCGGTGAAATGCACGGCACAACTTCGGTTTCCCTTGCAACGACTTCAGATGCGGCCGTATCGTCAACGTACTTCCATACATTAGTTAAATTATAAACATCTGAATCATTTAAAAGTATAAGAAATAGCTATGGGCCTAGTTTTGTTCCCTGTGGGACCCCGGGAGGCACTGAATCCCACTTGGAGTAACAGCCCTCAGATAGTTTGATTCTTTGGTTTAAAAATGCAACCTCTTTAAGAGAAACACAGGAGACTTTCAAGGGTTTTCTCGAGATAAATTTTATTTTTGCTTGTTTGGAATGGCTACATAGCTGATAATCAGTTGCAAACATTCTTTCCCTTAAGAAAGACTTAACGTTGAGTGTATGAAAAGACAAAAGACATTGCGTCTGTTTTTTCGATACAATAGTCCTTGAATGCAATTGTCCCAGTCCAAACTATTTTCGATCTCTCAAGTAACTGACCATAGATAGGGTTTCTGTTAAGGGTCCTAGTCAACCACAGGACATTGCGCGCTTAATCCGCCATTTTCTATGCCATTTAAATTCGAGGAATTTTCAAAACAAAAAACCATCGATGGTATCTCGCGTTCCTTCACATGGAAGGCCTAGAGCCTCGGAGCAGACTAAAAATTTCAACCTGTGGAATGACAGGAAAGATATTCCTAGCATCAGAGATCTAACTAATGGCCAATTTGCAGATATTTTTCTGCATCAAAGCGTGGACAAGCTTCGCGCAGGATGCATATCATAAGAAGCAAATGACCAGTTAAAAAGTTAAAGTATTGACGAGCCTGTGTGACATTCCTGGCATCTGCAAGCGATTTTAAACTTCTGTCGTCATAGATTAGTTTAGATCAGGATACATTTTGATGATCTTTTCCCAATGTAATTTTTAAATGAGGCGCCATTTCCCCATCAATATTTTCTTGAGGTTAGGTAAAGCCGGGTGATATTGAAATGCAAAAGACAACATTTCCTTCTGTGTGCTGTTTTCTTTGTTTTAAGTGACCCTTCTCTACTGTAGCAGACAACTCCAGACATGTATTTCTCCAGAACTTCGTCAGGTATCCTCTTTCCCTTCTTTAGTCGTATTTTTAAGCAATGTGCGTTATTTATTAAATGTGGAGCGCGTCGGATTTGTTTTTAGGATGCGTAACGCTTCTACTTCTGCGAATCCTTTCTTTACGCCACGTAAAAACTGTTTACGGGCCGGCACGACTTCTGCCAGGCGTTGAGTTAATATGAACGAATTTCTACGCAGTTGCACGTATGTTAACAAAAACAGAAGTGTGGTTGACAAGGATCCTTTAAGATGCTACATCAAAATCTTTCCACAAATATTGAAGGTTGTGATAACTAAACCTTACAAAAGGCTTAGAAAAAAAATCAAACCAAATTTTAATGGTTCGTTTTATACCTAAACTACTGCTTTAACTTCACTGATTTCGCTTTACTTAAAAGCCTTACGTACGTTAACATTGTTTCTTGCCTATTATACCAGAAATATAAATTTTGCGTTAAAAAAAAAACACTCTGAGTACTTAACCAATTTATCCTTCTGAGAATATTGGAACAGAAAGCACAAAAAAGTGAAATAGCTCTCGATCCCTTAATTTGGGATAGCTCTTTTTTTAAATTCATTGAAATACCGGATAGAGTATTTTCTCTACTTGTTTCTATTCAATTTATGCATCTAAAAGTCTTTTTGCTCTGTTTCCTTTGAGCAATCCTCACTATTTACTCTGTCGGGGTCCTTTTTCCTGTAAAATAGTGAAAAACATTAGACTAGCCTTGATGTTGAAGGTATCAAAGGATCCCCGCCGACAGTCAGCGACCAGTAAGTCGTAGCCACCTTCACACGTAATTTAACTTTAATTTATGAAATACATGTTCTCACCGAGTCTTACCTCTGCTCGTCAAACTCGAGCCTCACATCATCCCCAATCAGCGTAAACGAAGCCCACTCAGACACATTGGTAAGGCGGTTTTTCCTCATCCACTTCATGGCCTGATGAAGGGATTCACTAGCACTTTCTCCTTTAACAAGGTGTTCGTAGAACCGACTCATCAGGTGCTCTGTTGCTGAGTCTGAAATGGCCCACAGTGCAACCAACACCGAGCGAGCACCGGATCCTAAGAACGCACGGGCAATTCCTATAACTCCCTCGGCTCTTATCTCTCCACTTCCACTGTGACAGCAGCTAAGTACCACAAGTTTAGCTCTGACTTTCACTCGCGAGACATCAGCCATCGTCAACATGTAGGCTTCCTGTGGTGGAAAAGCGTTTCGACTGTTGGCAGTAGGAATGGGGGAGAGGGCAATTTTTCCCCTTTCAGCGTCACCATGGGCAGCAAAATGAATCAGGCTCACTGAACTTATCCGCTTTAGGACCGCCTGCTTCGTTGCGTTCTCGTCTACCAGCGGCGGAACACCCATAAGTCGTCCGACCATCTCCGCTTCCTTTCTTGCACCTGGCAATTGCGGCAGCCAATCCACCTTGGGATTGCCTATTATCAAGGCACCAGTGTTGATGTGATAGTCCTCTGGACTATCTTGAATGATCTTGAGCGTCGTCAAAGAAGGAATGACACGGATCCTATGAGTCTCCGACAGGTATTCGGCTCCCTCCTTTTCACTCAGGGCAGCAAAGGGCACTTTGTACAACCTGCGGTCAGGAACAATAATGACTTCAGGCTCCTCAAGCAAATCATAAACGGGGGCAATAAACATTTTATAACACAAAGAAAGACTTGAAATGACTTTCTCGTCCTCGTCCTCGTCCTCGTCCTCGTCCTCGTCCTCGTCCTCGTCCTCGTCCTCCTCCACAAGCCGCAATCTTGCTGAGCTTTTTTGTTGGGGAGAGAGAGGTTGCAATTCAACCATGTTTAAAGACCGATCTTCACAATCTTCAATGGGCAAAATACCAAGACTCCGGAAGTTATCAGCCAAAAATTCACTCAGAGGCTTGTCTTTGGGCAACCCAGCCTGAACTAGAATCTCTTCAAGTGATATTCTTTTATAGTGAAGGACTCCACTTGTTTTCAAGATCCACAAACTCAGATGATTGTGAAAATAAGAAATGTACAGACAAGTACAGTTACTTTCCTTTCTAAAAATGCTTTCAATGCCAAACCAAGATTGTGGATTAGCAGAAATATGCGTTGTAACCAAGTACTTCTCTGCCATCAAGTCTGATAGACCTCTAGCTCGACCCAACTCCTCAACATAAAGAGCATCACGAGTTTTTCCGGTGCCACAAAGCAAAGTACAAAGCAGTTTGTAGGGAAATATTCCTGAGTTTTCCAGAAATGAAGTTTTGAACTGATCATTGGCACCCAAGAAAGATCTAAGCTCATCGTACTTTTCAATGCACAGATGAAGACACGAAAAGGCGTCTTTGATTTTCTTTTGAAATAAATACAAAATAGCGCATTCTTGAAGAATTTCGAACACTTTTCTTCTATTTCCAATATCTCTGGATATAGATAAGGCTTTCTCCAAGTATACTTCTGAAGCTTCATAATCTCCAACAGTTCTGGATATAATTCCAAGATTTGCAAGATCTGCTGCTTCCCCTTGTCTATCACCAATTTCAGTTCTGATGTTAAGCGCTTTCTGGAAATATTCTACAGCCTTCTCGCACTGCTCGAGAAACCCAAACACAGTTCCAAGGTTTCCGTAGTCAGATGCTTCTCCTTTCCTGTCGCCAATTTCAATTCTGATAGCAAGCGCTTTCTGGAGATACTCTTTAGCATCGTCGTATAGCCTAAGCGACAGAAACGTAGTACCTAGGTTTCCGTAGACACTTGCCTCTCCTTCTCTGTCGCCAATTTCAGTTCTGATGACAAGCGCTTTTTGGAAATACTCTTTAGCTTTGTCATGTTGCCCGAGCGACTCAAACACAGCACCTAGGTTTTCGTAGTCAGTTGCCTCTCCTTTTCTTTCGCCAATCTCAGTTCTGATGACAAGCGCTTTTTGGAAATACTCTATAGCCTCGTTGTATTGCCCGAGCGACATAAACAAAGTACCTAGGTTTCCGTAGTCGGCTGCTTCTCCTCCTCGGTCGCCAATCTCAGTTCTGATGACAAGCGCTTTTTGGAGATACTTCTTAGCATCGTCCTTTTGCCCGATCAAATTAAACACAGAACCTAGGTTTCCATAACATGATGCTTCCCCTTCTCTGTTGCCAATTTCAGTGTTGATGACTAGCGCTTTTTGGAGATATTCTTTAGCATTGTGGTATTGCCCGAGCGAGATACACACGGTACCTAGGTTACTGTAGTTAACGGCCTCTCCTTCCCTGTCGCCAATTTCAGTTCTAATGACAAGGGCTCTTTGGAGATACTCTTTTGCCTTGTCGTATTGCCCTTGCGACATAAGCACAGTAGCTTGGGTTCCATAACATGATGCCTCTCCTTCCCTGTCGCCAATTTCTGTTTTGATGAACAGTGCCTTTTCAAGACACTCTTTCGCCTTGTCGTATTGCCCGAGCGACTTAAACACAGCACCTAGGTTTTTATAGCTTGATGCCTCTCCTTTTTTGTCTCCAATCTCAGTTTTGATGACAAGCGCTTTTTGGATATACTCTTTAGCCTTGTCGTATTGCCCGAGACACTTGAACACATTACCAAGGTTTCCATAACATGATGCCTCTCCGTTTCTGTCGCCAATTTCAGTTCTAATGACAAGCGTTTTTTTTAGATACTCTTTAGCCTCGTCGTATTACCCGAGAGACTTAAACACATTACCAAGGTTTTCATAACATGATGCCTCTCCGTGTCTGTCGCCAGTTTCAGTTGTATTGACGAGGGCTTTCTCGAGATACTCTTTAGCCTTCTCGTATTGCCCGTGCGACATGAACACATTAGCTAGGGTTTCATAACAAAATGCCTCTCCCTTTTTGTCGCCAATCTCGGTTTTGATGACAAGAGCTTTTTGGAGATACTCTTTGAAATTGTCGTATTGCCCGAGTGAATAAAACACAGTACCTAGGATTAGGTAGTCAATTGCTTCTTCTTTTCTATCACCAGTTTCAGTTCTGATGACAAGGGCTTTTTGGAGGTACTCTTTAGCATTGTCGTATTGCCCGAGCGAATGAAACACAGTACCTATGCTTTCGTAGTTAGCTGCTTCTCCTTTTCTGTCACCAATTTCAGTTCTGATGACAACGGCTTTTTGGAGATACGCTTCAGCATTGTCGTATTGCCCGAGCACCGTTAACAAATAACCTAGGATTCCATTAGATACTGCCTCTCCGTTTCTGTCGCCAATCTCAGTTTTGATGACGAGGGATTTTTGGAAATACTCTTTAGCCTTGTCGTATTGCCCGAGCGATATGAATACAGTACCTAGGCTTCTGTAGTCATCTGCTTCTCCTACCCTGTCGCCAATTTCAGTTCTAATAACAAGGGCTTTTTCAAAATACTCTTTAGCATTGTCGTATTGCCCAAGCGAATAAAACACAGTACCTAGGTTTCCGTAGTCAGCTGCTTCTCCTCTTCTGTCGCCAATCTCAGTTCTGATGACAAGTGCTTTTTGGAGATACTCTTTGGCATTGTCGTATCGTCCGAGCGACTTAAGCACAGTACCTAGCTTTCCATTACATAATGCCTCTCCCTTTCTGTCGCCAATCTCAGTTCTGATGACAAGCGCATTTTGGAGATACTCTTTGGCCTTGTCGTATTGCCTGAGCGACATAAACACTGTACCTAGGTTTTCGTAGTAAGTTGCTTCTCCTTTTCTGTCGCCTATTTCAGTTCTGATTGCAAGCGCTTTATGGAGATACTCTTTAGCGTTGTCGTATTGCCTAAGGGAATGAAACACAGTAGCTAGGTTTGCGTAGTCAGCTGCTTCTCCTTTTCTGTCGCCAATCTCAGTTCTGATGGCAAGGGATTTTTGGAAATACTCTATGGCCTTGTCGTATTGCCCGAGCGAATAAAACACAGTACCTAGGTTTCCATAGTCAGCTGCCTCTCCTTCTCTGTCGCCAATTTCAGTTCTAATGACAAGGGCTTTTTAAGATACTCTTTGGCATTGTCGTATCGTCCGAGTGACTTAAACATAGTACCTAGGTTTCCATGACATGATGCCTCTCCCTTTCTGTCGCCAATCTCAGTTCTGATGACAAGGGATTTTTGGAGATACTCTTTAGCATTGTCGTATCGCCCTAGCGAATGAAACACAGTACCTAGGCTTTCGTAGTTAGCTGCTTCTCCTTTTCTGTCGCCAATTTCAGTTCTGATGACAAGCGCTTTTTGGAGATACTTTGTAGCATTGTTGTATTGCCCGAGCGAATGAAACACAGTTGCTAGGTTTCCGTAGTCAGCTGCTTCTCCTTTTTCTGTCGCCAATCTCAGTACTGATGACAAGCGCTTTTGGAGATACTCTTTAGCATTGTCGTATTGCCCGAGCGAATAAAACACAACACCGAGGTATCCGTAGTCAGCTGCTTCTCCTTTTCTGTCGCCAATTTCAGTTCTGATTACAAGGGATTTTTGGAGACACTCTTTAGCATTGTCGTATTGCCCGAGCGAATGAAACACAGTAGCTAGGTTTTTGTAGTCAGCTGCTTCTCCTCTTCTGTCGCCAATCTCAGTTCTGATGACAAGGGATTTTTGGAAATACTCTTTAGCCTTGTCGTATTGCCAGTGCGACTTAAACACAGTACCAAGGTTTCCGTAGTCAGCTGCTTCTCCTTTTTTGTCGCCAATCTCAGTTCTGATGACAAGGGATTTTTGGATATACTCTTTAGCCTTGTCGTATTGCCCGAGATACTCAAACACATTACCAAATTTACTATAACATGATGCCTCCCTTTCCTGTCGCCAGTCTCAGCTTTGATGACAAGCGCTTTTTGGAGATACTCTTTAGCATTGTCGTATTGCTCGAGCGACATAAACACAGTACCTAGGTTTTCGTAGTCAGCTGCCTTTCCTTTCCTGTCGCCAATTTCCGTTCTGATGACAAGCGCTCTTTGGAGATACTCTTTGGCCTTGTCGTATTGCCCGAACGAATGAAACACAACACCAAGGTTTCCATAGTCAGCTGCTTCTCCTTTTCTGTCGCCAATCTCAGTTCTGATGACAAGCGCTTTTTGGAGATACTCTTTAGCATTGTCGTATTGCTCGAGCGACATAAACCCAGTACCTACGTTTTCGTAGTCAGCTGCCTCTCCTTTTCTGTCGCCAATTTCAGTTCTGATGACAAACGCTTTTGGAGATACTCTTTGGCCTTGTCGTATTGCCCGAGCGAATGAAACACAACACCAAGGTTTCCATAGTCAGCTGCTTCTCCTTTTCTGTCGCCAATCTCAGTTCTGATGACAAGCGCTTTTTGGAGATACTCTTTAGCACTGTCGTATTGCTTGAGTAACTTAAACACAGTACCTAGGTTTCCGTAGTTAGCTGCTTCTCCTTCTTTGTCGCCAATTTCAGTTATGATGACAAGGGATTTTTGGAGATATTCTTTAGCCTTGTCGTATTTTTCGAGAAACGCGAACACATTACCAAGGTTTCTATAACACGATGCCTCTCCTTTCCTGTCGCCAATCTTAGCTTTGATGACGAGCGCTTTTGGAAATACTCTTTAGCATTGTCGTATTGCCCGAGCCAATAAAACATATTACCTAGGTTTTCGTAGTCAGCTGCCTCTCCTTTCCTGTCGCCAATTTCCGTTCTGATGACAAGCGCTTTGTGGAGATACTCTTTTGCCTTGTCCCATGATTCCCCGAGCGACCAAAGTAAAGGTCCTTGGTTTCCGTAACAGGATGCTTCTCCTCTTCTGTCGCCAATTTCGGTTCTTATGGTAAGGGCTCTCTCAACATACTCCTTTGCTTTTAGTTTTTCGCCAAGTGTGTAATACATAATTCCAAATCTTTCGCAGGCATTTGCTTCTCCAATTTTTTCACCAGTTTGTTTCTTAATATTAACTGCTTTTTCATAAAGTTGTTTCGCATCTGTAAACCTGTTTTGACTCTCAAAAACCATTGCTAGAACCATGCTTGCATCTCCCTCTTTTACTAAGTCACCAGACTCACTGGATAAGACAAGCAGTTTCCTACCGTATCTTTCCGCACCTATGTAGTCAGAGATACGACAGCAAGCTCTGAAAAGAAGTAAATTGAAGGCGCTGTGAAATTGTTGCAGTTGCGAAATGAATTGGTCTTTGCTGTTTTGATCGGCGTTATGTAGTAAAATCAAACATTCGCTGCATATCCCAATGGCTTTCTGAATGCGATCTGAGTTGAGCAGGAACTCAGCAACCGGAAAAAGCGATGTTCATGAAAGCTATCATGGCTTCTGTCGTCAGCTTTCCATTGCCATCCTCTCCTGTTATTAGGGAAACATTAGTTCTTGTAACACAAGTTAACCAAATGGTTTGATAATCTGGATTCATAATGAGTCATTGCAAACAAGAAACCATATGCGAAGTTAGAAAAAATACGCTAAGTCGATTACAGCTGGAGATTTTTTGTACCGAGCTGAAAGTGTTAGAATTCACAGTATCGACTTAAAACAAAAAAAATTAGTGAAGAAGAGGCGTGGATAAGTAGAACTAGAGTACATCAACGAATCACAATCGGTGAAACTTGTCAAATTAATTTGATCACGGTTTTTAGAAAACTATTTACTACTAGAAAGTGAACTATTATCCAAATGATTTTTAATCTAGCTGTTTCGTTTACTCATCATGTCAAGCATAAAGAAAAAAAAATGACGCGCGCCCGAGTTTGACTAACGGTTGTGCGTCGGGGGGTCGTGCCATCAATTAAGAGGTTTTTGAAAGGTTGTGGGTTTCTTAAAAAAACAAGAAGGATTGGTAAACCTTTTACTGCAACTTTCTAGGAACATTTGAAAATGTTGTTTGAGCAGTTAATCACCATATAATGAGTTTACTTATCTGAAGATTATATGGCTGAAAATGAATCTATTCGTAACTTATGAAGATAATTGCCAAGATTTGAGGTAGTAATGGTTTGACAAACTCGGTTTGTTACCTTTCATAATACTGAAGTTGTGATTTTTGCACAACAGGCATGACTTAAAAGTCAATGGACAAAGATAAACAAAACAGCTTTTATATTAACTTAACTTTTTCTATGAGAACTTTCCCCATGCATAGTTTCTAAAGGCAACATTAATCAACGTGGTAATTTTCTAAACAAACTTTGGTGGGGTATTGCAAAATAATTTGGCTTTACCAACTGAGTTGACAATGTAAATTGGTCATCGTAATTAGTGTTTTTGAAGCTGACGTTTCGAGCGTAGCATTTTTTCATCTTAAGAGATTGTTATTCGAGGATTGTCGATTCATTTATTTTCATTTATTGATAAAGTCGGCTTTTCTTCCCAGTAAAGGGCTACTGTGTTTATATGATAAACAAAATAATACATGATTGCTTGTAGATGTGGAATTTTTCTTCTCGTGTTTAACTCGAAGAGAAATTCCATATCTACGCGCGCCCATGTATTATTCTCTGTGTATGCCTTGTATGCCAAGTATGCCAATGTCTTAGTTGAAAAACGTACACTTGTTGAAAAAAGCAAAATTGTAAATCTGAAACCAAACTGCTTATACTCTATGCAATCTATTGAACAACACTACTACCGTGAGACTGAAGAACAAAACTCTAATGGTGCAAACTGGAACAACGAAATATCCCTCTTCTGCAGTCAGGAGAAAATATCGAAAGTCTAACAAATACAGGATACTGAAAATGCTAAACCAATATCCGCATGTAAAAAAGCCAAAGCAGTCGAATGCATGGAAGTCTAATTCAGTACCAAATGTCTGGGGATATAGAAACAAACCCTGGTCCTGTTATTAATTCTACGAAAACAATTCAAGCTCCTTACAGTCAAGACAATGTGGCAATGTTTGGGTTAAATGCTGGTACACAGTGTGTAGCCAGGTCACTTGCTTTCCTCATATATATAACAAGAGGAATGGTATTGTATCCACAATGGACTTGGTTAATATCATGAACATTGGTAATGAATTGTATTCTGGTCTATCTAGTCTATCCAGCCAATCCTATTTACTGTTAACAGATGTACCTGAAATGATAATAGTGTTTAATATTAATTATCAGCTTCAATACAGTCCAAGCTATACTGGTACTATACATGGTACTTGTGAAGTACAAGATTTCAATCATTGTATGTCATTTGCTAATGTTATGTTAAGGCTTTGCTAGGACAAAATTATAATTCCTTTCTTTTAACAATACCTAGTACTAGGGTAGGTTTTTACTGTAGTGATGGTAAATTTGAGATATTTGATTCACAGAGGTAAATGGTATAAATCACTGGATCCCGTAGAAAAAAAAAGCTTTTGTCCAAATCAGCAGATTGGTGTAAATCACTTGGTTATGCAGAAAAACAAAATCTTTTGTCTAGCAGAGCAATTTGGTATAAATCACTAGATACTGCACAAAAATAAAAGAGGGCAGAATGGTTTAACTCGCTCAATTCTGCACAAGGACAAAAACAGCAGAATGGTATAAGTCATTGAATCCTGAAGAAAAAAAAAAAACTTTTTTCTGGCAGAGCAGAGTGGTGTAAAACACTGGATCCTGCAGACAAAGATAAGATTATATCACAAGTCCAAGCTAATAAAGAAGCCCATAGACTCTCAGTTCAAGATAATTTAGATCATAGGATCACAGCTTTTCAAAGTAAGATTAGGGAAGGTTCATAATATATTTGCTCTGTTTGTAACAGAAAAAATATACAAAAAACTTTTATCCAATTTAAAAAAAAAAATGTACAACATTCAGCAAGAACTATTTACTGAGTTGTATCCTCATGATTCCTTTCCGTCTTGGAATGACCTATCACCTATCGCCTGACGACAACCTTTTTTGAAATAGGTGTATGCCCTTGGCCAGACTTGAGCTACTATTTCAGTATACCAGTCCGACACCCGTAGTTACAATACACTTGATCGCAAAGATCCCGTACCATCCAGGTATCCCAGTTACCCTGCTCACAGGGTCTAGTTTGATATAAGACCGATGAATCAAATACAAGCCATAAAATCAAGGTGTGTCCTGTACAAACAAAACCGCAAACGCGTGACTAGAGGTTACATGTAGAAATTAATTAAAATTAACGTGACTGTTCGTAACACTCTTCATTTATCTATACCGCAGAGTTTATTTGAACACTAGTTCATTTAAAAAAAATCGCAATTTTGTCGAAGTTGGGTAGCTTTACCCAAACAGGTCTTTCCGAAAGTTAAAATAAAACGAGGTTGGGTCTGCGACATTCATGTTTTCAAGTAATAAGTCCACGCGGTAACTTTTTTTAAGATAGTTTTCAATGAGAGAACCTATCAATCATCTACAAATTACTGACCGCTGAAGTCAAGGATAAACGAACTCATAAGCTATGGTTCTTGATGCTAGCATAATGAACTGCTTTGTTTGGCCTTGGTAATTTTCATCGCTGCGTTTTTATACTTTCTACTTGATTCGCCCGAACTGCAGGAAATGGTTTGTCTTCCAAAACATGGAGTCATTTCTCTTCGCACCTTATATCTAGAGTAAAACACAGTTGATGCTCGGGTAATGGTGAATATGTTTGTGATACGATATTTATCCTCTTTACGCTGGAAACTGATGAATCAGTCATCACAGTTTGTAAGAAGTGTTCGAACTGTGTTTCCTGATTGAAACGAAGTCTTGCATAATGGACATAATGTGCCCAAAAGCATTCAGGTAACCACATGGTAAGTGTATAAATGGTCGCTTACAGCTTGTAGTAGTATAGCGTAATTTTTTCACTTTAACCGTCTACACTTCATAAATTCATTTTGTAACCTGCTCGGGAAATTTCTTATGAATCCATCGGGCTACGTTCTCGGAATTTCACAACTGATTATGATCGATAAATGTTCGTATCTATACCACAATAATTAAAGATATTGCGGACAATGTTTGTGGGTACCGCCTCCTGTAAGAGGCGAAGTCACATCATGTCCTCGAAATGAGCGAGTTAGAAAAGTGTGATGGTAAGAACAGAATTCAGATCTTGACCCAGCTTTGACCTTATGTTTCTCGGTGCCACTTTACAGTTGACGATTAACATCTCACTGGAGAGCGCGTGAACAAAATAAGTTTCAATTCTTTGCAGAAAATATCAAAAGGTGTGATCGGCGAATCATGGAAACTTGGAGGAAAAAATTTTCCTTAGTTAGAAAAGAGAGCATTTTACCGTTTGAATCACCGGATTATGCCCAGTAGATCCGAAGATTAAGAATTGTTTAGTTTCTGCCTTGACACAACAGAAGATAATAAACATCTCCAAATTATTTGTGACGTTTCCTTTCAGAAATATCTAAATAGGTTTGATCTGCACACCGTGAAAACTTTGAAGAGAAATTTTGTTTATTGAGAGAGAGCATTTTACCATTGCAATCAGCAACTATAGCTAATGCCCAAATGAGTCACTGACCGCTCAAACTCCAGGTGGCCCAAGCTCCAGGCGCCTGTGAATGAGCCGATAAATTTGCAAAGCGAGTAAGGTCCAAAACACGATATCTTGAGTTTAACAGGGTGATCCTATTCGATGAAATTATGGAACGGTGAAATGGCAGAATGGCGAAATATCCTGCAATATGGAATGCTTTGTTGAATGAAACAAATTTTTTTTTCTGTCGACACTTGATTATTCCGCATAATTTGTGCTTTTACTTATTATTTTGTAGCCTCAAAAGCCACTTATATGGCTCTGAAGGTACTGAACTTGATTTATGTGATGCATAGCGTTCTCTTCAAGAAGGAAGGATAGAATATTTTTCAGGTAAAATTGCTTATTGGATGGTAGTTTACATATTTCATACAGTTTACATATGTATTAACCCTATCTTAGCTGTATCCAGAAGCATATACATGTATTAGGTAGTATGCTTCTGTTGTTTTTTATTGTAATGTGTCTCAACTTATGGAACATTCACCCTCTAATTTCTCTGCTTAATTAAATAATTAAATGAGTGT